CTAATTAGGCATTTATAATGACCTTATATAAAATTTTTCTGCTGCTTCATTAGTTTTAATGGTTCCATAGGATATTGTAGAAGTCTTTTTAGAGAATTTTATTTCCGTTGTATTATTTGAAATCAGAACACTACTTTTTCTTCCTTTTGAAAATACTTCAATTTATTATTGTAATCAATATTTTTTTATATGCATTGACTGATATTTTTTGTGTCCTTTATGTTGTATAATACGACCTGTGCAGTTAGTCACATTGAAATGCTTGCCATGGCTCCCTTAATTTCTGTACATAAGTTAGTTCCTTTTTACATGTGAAATATATCAACAATATATCTACTGATGAGTGGATATGGGTGTAGAACATTTGAGATGCTGGTTATAACCAGTTATTAGATGTTTTAACTAAGATATCTTGTACACATGAATTTTGATGAAACTGAAAATATATATATATATATTAAAATTTACAACTAAAATGTTTTGCTCTGCAGTATTATTATAAAAATACCTATAAATTGATCCAAAAGAATAGATTATGAAAGGTTTCAAGATGAGCATCTAAGTTTCTGCTTCTATCTTTAATTTTATCTGCTAAAGAAAAAATCCTAGTGAAAAAAAATGGTTGATATAGGAACTCAAAGGAAGCTGATCATAAAAATAGACAAGTGAGTATTTTGGGTTACATCTTTGTTCTATTCTGTTTTTGGTAGAGCTCCTGACAAAACTCTTTTGTAATTCTAATTTTATTTTCAACAGATAAGCAACACAATGCTTGTTCAGTACTAAATGGGTAATAATTATTTTAAGAATTTTGTACAAGTTAAATGAAAAGAAACAACATGTACCCAAATATTTAATGTATTGAAACATTATTTTTTCTAAACAATATGTACCAGTTGGAATTTTTAGAGTTCATAGAAACTGATTGACATAGTTTTTTTCATGTTTGTCTAACAAAGAAGTTATAATACATTGATTTGAAATGTCATGAGATTGACTGAATTTGTTGCATGAAAATAACCCAAATACCTTAAAATTATTTTTTGTGATAATCTACATATTTTATGTGAATAATTGATTGTTTTATTTGACAAATATATTGACTAAGTTGTTTTGGCTTTATTTTACTCTGTCATGTTCACTCTCGACTTGATAGAGCTACATTGCATCTATTTATCTTGGAAAGGATCAATACTGGTTTTAATCTAATTAAAAAAAAAAAAAAACCTTTTTTTTTTAATACCATGTCTCTTCAGGATGTAGGTGATTGACTGGGAATTGCCATGAATTCTTGGGAAAGATAGTGGTGTGGTTTCCCATTGCCTCTTCAAAGGTCTTGAATTGATAGTAGCTGCCAACCAAGGCTTGAGTAATCTGACCTGTTTATTTAACCCATAGCTGGGAGGCAATATGGATTTATGCTTTTTCCCAGGGATAAAGTGAAGGCAACAAACAAGGCTGGAATTTGAACTTGGCTTGCTGATTTCACTTACCATGCTGATAAACATTATGCTACCTGCATAGTGTATATGTCAATGCATTATAACTTCTATCCATTACTCCACTGTGCATTGGAGGCACGGTGGAGTAATGGATAGCAGCTCTGATCAATGAATCTGAGAGCAGAGTTCAAATTCCAGTCAAATCCATTATATTCACTTAGGTGTTAATACCCTTGGGAAAGGTTGAATCCTCTTCTTCTCTCCCTCCCCCAGCTATGGGTAAATAGCAGGACAGACCAGGTTCTATAGCCTTGTATGGCAACTAGTCTACCACAGAAAGAAATGGCAACCTACTGCGGGGAAAAAATCTGCCTCGTCAGTCATGTATCGAAAGATACATGATCGCCTAAGCATGTATCACACATGGCACTGACTTGCATAACAAACCATCAAATAAGGAACATATATTGTCTGTTTGTTTTTTAAAGAAATATAATTTAGTCCTTTAGTTTATAATCAATTAAAAATTGTTGTGAAAATGAAAAAAATGTTTTTTTTTTTTGTTTTTTTTTTTACTGATTTTTCAGTTGGCTTATTTAAACTAATCTAATCCCTTTTTGTAATTAACTGTCCACTGTTTGTGTTTCTTGATGCTCATTTAAAGCATCTCTAATGTGCTTTTGAATAAATATTTTGAAAAATATAGGTTAGGTGTGTGTGTGTTATTCATACTTGTCTAGATGAACTATCATTTTTAGATGTGTCATTATTACATCCGGCTAAGAATATAATTTTAATATACAATGAAATAATCATATATATATATATATATATATATATATATATATATATATATAGGTTAATTTTAGGATTTTATTTTTTTTTAATTATTTGTGTATTTTGGAACTATCTTAAAGGGGCCTTTAGTATGATTAAATCATATTTATATATTATATTATTTTGATCCTAAAATACAATACTTATTATATTTAATGGGCCATAAGACATGGCAATATTAAAATTAAAAATCAAGGGATTAAATAAATATTATATTAAATATTATATGTACCATTATATATAATAAAATAATTGATATCTAATTGTAATACAGAGATTTTTTTTTATGAAAAATTCTATTAATTATATGTTAAAGTAAACATTATACAATGCCTACATATTACAGTTAGTTCATTTCACTGATTTAATAGATCATTATTTTTTTAGGAAACTTAATAATATGCGGCTTTTGATGTAGACACAGGGGACATGGGTCATTTGGTGATTTACAAATTCTCGTTACGAAATATAGATCTTTAAACATCTTGTCTAGTTTTTTTCTGATGGAATCATTATTTCTTTTATCATCTGGTACCACCATCAGTCCATCATCCCAGTATATTTTGCGGTTGTTGATGTGGACAATTTTATTTATTATCTATAAAGAAAAAAAGTTTATTGGCAGCTTTGTTTGCCAAGGACTTTGTATGCTTAAACCTTGAACAGATTAAAGTCATCCTGCATTGGCATAAATCAGTTTTATTTCATGGTGGTGAAGCATGTATTATGAAATTCAAAGCTGGTAATTTTGATGTCCTCCAAGGATAATTTGACTAGGCAGAGGTGTCTGAACTGATGGGAATCTATATCCTAAGTAAAATAAATAAAATTATCCACATCAACAACCACAGAATTTACTGGGACGATAGACTGATGGTGGTACCAGATAATAAAAGAAATAACGATTCCATCAGAAAAAAAGCTAGACCAGATGATTAAAGATCTAGATTCTGACATCACAGTGGAGATCAGCAGGAAAGTACTCTAGTTTTTGGACATAGAACTAAACCTGCTGACTGAAACCATCTCATGTTTCATAAAATCTAATATGGTTTTGAGATAGGTAAATGTCACCCAACCACCCATCAAGTGTGATTAAAGATATCCTGTTAGGTGTACAATACAGATTCTCAAAAAATTCTTCAGTACATTTAGAGTTCATTTTGTCAATTTTTACAGATATTACATTAGTCATTAAAATTTGGTGTGCAAAGTCACAATGAGAACACCCATAAAGTTGTGTGTGTTTATTCTAGCAGATATGTTGGTTGAGCTGCTTGAAGAATCTAAGACATGAATTAGTAAATATAACTGCCACTTCTATTCAAACAGTTTTTTTTCTCGCACTTCCTTCCTGTGAAACTTCCTTCAGTTTCTTTGCTCCCTGATAACTATAATCTTTAAAAATTTAAATGCAATGTCAATTTTCATCATCTATCTTCTTGAACCCTGTTCAGCTTTTATCCTTTCCTTGCTCTGTGTCTTTTCTCTCACTTTCACTCTCTGTAACCCCCTGTGTACAAGTGATATTCCCATGTTGCTTGGGGTGAAATGATTTAAAAAAAAAAAAAATCTCGGAAGAAATTAGAATATGCATTCCTTAAATAAGAAATTCCAGGCAATGATGAAGTATTCTGTGGTCATATAATTTTTCCATGAGACTAGATCTTTTCATTTATTTCCCTAAAAGGGATCTATCATGTTTAACTATCAGTTACAAAAATAAAATTTAAAAGAAAATGTAGTTATTGAATATTGCTTTATTCCAAGGAACAAGGAGAAATTAGTGCATTTCTAATGGTACAGCTGAAGAAGTCTTTTTTACATTTTTTGTGAAGGCTCGTTGAATGCTGCTTTTAAACTCATAATTGTATCTTAAATTTTAAAATACCAGTCAGAAATAGTTTAAAAATTTATTAAAATACAAAGAATGAATTTGTATAAAGCGTATTAAATTTCTAACTATGAGAATACTTTTGTTAAATTTTTACTGGTTCTTTGAATCTTGTTTAGTCACATCTTTACTATTCCATACGTGTGTACATTTCTTCTTCTCTCACTTATTTGTTTCAATGCCAACACCTGGTGTTATGGGGATGAACCAATGAATCTTGTTCATTTTGGCAATGACAACAGAAGAGTCTTAGTTTCAAGGCAACAAATGATGTCTTAATGTCATCTTTCTAAAGCTATAAATGGTTTTTGTTCTGATTAATTGAACAATATCTACCCACAAGGACAAGTTGAGAAGAGATCAGCCAGACTGATGGCTCATTCCACGTCGTATCCAGACATGCCAAGAAGATTCTAGCATGAACCAAATATATGGGGCACATTAAATTTCTTTTCATTCATTAAAGATGTGGCAAAAACAAAAAAAAAAAAAAAAAAATTCAAGTTTGGAAGTATGGCCACTTGAATATTGTACTTTTGCTTTGATTATATTTTTTCCTGGCAGGATTTATTTTCATTATATGTACAATCTTTACAGATTATTGTATTTCTTTACTTTCAGTTTTCTTAAAAAATGTTGTAGAATCTGTGCTAACATTATTATTATTGTTATTATGGAAGAGGAATTTTAAAGTTTGTACATTTTTCCCATTCATTGTTTCAGAGAATTTTCATATTTTAACCAATTCATCATTTGTCATCTGTGGTTGTGGGATAGTCCTATCAAAGTTTGGTTATAACATTATTTCAAATTCTGATATATTCTGTATGTCTATTCGCATAAGTATTCTCTTTTTGACAAATTATGGATATATTTTTCAACATACACAAGAAAAAAACATGTTTAAAAGTGTCTAAAACACAAATGTGTTTTATGACATGATTTTCAGTGCTTGAGTTAAATAAAAAAAAAAAAAAATCTTAAAGGTTATAAGAAATTAAAAGAAAAGAAAATCGTTGTCTGCATCATGGTAAAAAAAAACACCTCTAAAAAGATTCCACTATAACACATACTGTATTTAATATTTTCTGTCTGCAAATGATATTTGTTAATTAATTATCCAATTCATATTGAATTGAATTTGACTTAGCTTTACTCTATATGCAAAAAGGTTTTATTATTTTCACCACTAATGATTGTTGACATGCTTGGTATCATATATTAAATAATTGGTACAGAGTGCAGTTGACTAAAAGTAAAAAAAGCAAGTAGTCTTCAAATATATCTAAATACTTGTTTCACAGGTGATCATTAGTTGTGAGTGATTTATATACATTACAGAATACATTAGTGTCAATGACATAAACCTGATATGGCAAACAATAAATTTATCTTTATTTAGTCATTCATTTTTTTTTTTTTTATTCTGGGAATTACTAACTAAATTTATATTTGCTAGACCTGATTTAAGAAATTTATTGTTGCTTTGATCTGTTGGTGGATAATGTTGTCAGAATGAGAAATTGGAGAGCTAAGTTCAAATTCCAGTCAGGATCATTACATTCACTTAGGAAAGGTATGAATCCATCTCTTCCTCCCAGGTATGGGTTAAATAGTAGGTATCTGGAAAAATTGTTTGGTATTCTCAAAAGGAAAATTGTTGATGGAATATTCACTTGCACAATCAACAAAAGTATTATTCCTATAATTCAACATATGTTTTGGCTTTATATCACCCACAAAGTGTTGATAAGCTTTAAAAAAAAAATATGAACCAATCAATTATTGCTACTTTAGGCTTCTAATTGTTCATTTTGGATGCTAAATGGCATAATGCATAGTGAATTGTCAATAACTTTAAATGTCAATTTTAAAATAATCAGGGTTTCTATTAATACTGTGCATATTTTTGATGAACCATGAAATTCAAGCAAAATGATAGTTTTATATTTAGAATGAAAGTGTAAACTTTCATTTTCTTCTTGATTTTCAAGAATTAAATCAATAGTCTTCTAATATAGTTTCATAATATTGCAAATGTTGCAATTAAATATATACTCTTGTTCATTAAATATATATAGAGAATGGAATAGCTGAAACATTCTGGAAGGGAGAGTAGCAAGAAGAGTTGAATTGTCCAAACAATCCTTGAAATGGTTGAAATAGTTACCTCACATATTCATAAAAAAGAAAAAAAATTAAACTTTTATCAGTTATTAATATTTCAAATTTATCTTAAGAATCAAAGAATTTACAACTTTCCTACATTTCACAAATTTTTTTTTTTTTTTGCTTTCAGCTGAAGTGGTCTTAGAGTCATGTCAGTCTTGTGGGCGGAAATTTAATCCACAAACACTGGTATGTTTCTTTGGTTTTCCTTTCCTTTTCCTCTGTAAAAACAAAACTAGTTTCAAGTTAGTTTATGCTGACTGATAAACAAATTTATCTGATTAAATGTATAAGAATTTGTCCATGAGGTATTTGTGGGCATTTCTTCCAAAATGTTAATGATACTTTGATATTGGAAATATAAAGGATATTCCTTTGGGTACAAAGGGAAATGCTGTTAGATCCTCAAGGACTTTAATGACCATTGTATTTTATTTATTATATCTGAATGATATAAAATATATATAGAATATTTTCAACACATCTGATCAACTTATGACTTTGAAGCTTATGTTTTTTTGCTGTATTTTTTTTTCAATAAAGATAAAAAGTATAATGTGTACATTTAATGTGGTTTGCTGCAAAATATAAATAATCGTTAAGTGATGATTATAGAGGTCATTAAATTCAAATAATTGATCATTTGTCAAATGTTTTTTGGATAAATAATGAACTCTGACTTTGAAAGTGTTATAAGCTGTAAAATATTTTCCCACTATTGGCATAACTTTTTTTTTTTTTTTAACTTTTAGATTTTTCTATAAAGTTTGATTGTTTGAATGTCAATGCTTTGTTTTAATTGTTTCTCATAACTTTTATGTCTCATAGGTAAAACACCAAAAAATATGTTTAAAACTTTCAAGTAAAAAACGTAAAGTTTTTGATTCCACAAAGCAAAGAGCGGAAGCTTTGGAAATGACTGTCAACCAGGTGAAACAAGCGGTCAGCAAGGTGGGAAATTTTCTTCTCTTCAGATTTGATTTACTTGTTTTTCTCTGTGACATGAGTCAAAATACAAATTTAACAGAATCTTATTCATTACAGACTCTGTATAGGATATTTCATGGCCTGAAAAAGACTGTCAGTACAATATAAAAATATCAATTTAATGTCACTTGCTTAAAAGCAGCTTGAAAAATAATAATATATAAATAAATAAAAATATATAAAAAAAATAATATAAAAATAAATAAAATAAGTATACCCCCACCTCCCTCCCTCGCTTGTAAGTATTCATTACAATAAATACAACTTTTATTCAGTTCTAAAGCTGATTTAGACTAATAAAGCTTCATAAACTTGTCATTATATTACACAGCTGTTGAAAGTGATGGCAAATCACTTCCTATTGATATTTTATGCATTTACAGGTAAATAAGGGGAGACTAATCTGTAATTAGCCAAACTCTAGCTACATTTAAAATTACAAGTTAAACTTGTATCTCTAATCAGTAGAAATAATGTGAAATGACTTTTGAACATACATTTTAATTTTTTTTATTAATAAAGTGAAAATATTCATGATGCAAGAAAAAAAAGACGAATAATTTTTGTGCAAACATGGATAAATGTGCCTGCAATAAGATAGTCTCAAAAGGATGGTTATCCCGATGACACCGTTTTTTTTTTGTTTTTTTTAACTACTTTCACTCTTCAGCAATGTTTATTGTTTTAAAGTGATGATTACAAATATAATAAAACCTAAATATATGATAGTGAATTTATATATTTTCTTTGTTTTTGAGAATTGACAACAAAAATATTAAGCACTATTTAATAGATTGTTTATTTGAAAGAATAATTTTATATTTACAACATTCTAAAAACTAATACAATTAAAACTAATGCAATGCAATATTTATCATTTGCTAAATTATTAAAATATATAAACCAACTATAAGGAAATCCTTATTTACAATTTTATAAAGTTTGAATTAATTGGCAATTAACTGATGTTTTGCCAACAATTCCAATAAATAATTTAATAAATAAAAAGTGCATATAAACAATCTAATAAATAAATAATGTTTATTATTTTTTGTCAATTCTCAAGAACAAAGACAATGTATAAATTTACTTTCATATGTTTAGATTTTATTACAATTCTAATCCTTGCTTTTAAACAATAAACATTGTCAACAAGTGAAGATAGTTAAAAAAAAAAAAATAGAAAAAATAGTGTCACGGTAAGAACCGTCCTTTTGGAACTCCATCTTATTGTGGGTATATTTATCCATGTTTGCCAATTTTTGTATGAAACAATGATACTTGTGAAATAAAGTTTCTTTACAAAAATAAACATTATTTCTATTTTTTACATTTTTTTGTTTCTCTTTCAAAGTTAATGATTTTCTTTTCTACTTTTGTAACAAACACAAAAATTTAATTATCATTGTTACTGAGATGAACAAAAATGCTGATCTGATACCAAGTCACATATTTCATGAGGAATTTCTTTATTCTTATTTTAATGGTATTTCTCTAACAAACCCAGTCTGCTGTTTTTATAGTGTTAAAGTAAAAAAACAGGAATGTGATGACTGATAGTGATATTTAGCTAATTAAAATAAATTTTGACGGATTTACTTCATTATATATAAAATCTGCTTCATTTTGTTGATTTACTTTTAATTTGTAGTTTCTGTCTATTATTTGTGTGATGATCGATGAAGGCTTACTGGTTTGTTAATATTTGGTAATTCTCTTATGATGAACAACTGAAAATATGAATTTAAAAAAAATTTTTAATTTTCTTTCTCTTTCAGCAAATTTCTGTTCCCAAAGTAAATTGGAGATCCCAACATGAAGACTTCTTGAATTCTATCCGTAATGCGAAGAAAGTATCCCAAGCCATTGCTGAAGGCAAGCCACTCCCGCCTCCACCTGCACCTGTAGTCAATCCAAGTAAGATCTTTAGAAGCTGTGAAATGAAGACTTTGAAACAAATTGAATTACAAAGCAGCTAAATAGTCTCTTAAAGTATAAGATTAATGCAATTTGTTTAATTTCTAACTGTCAATATCAGTTCAATTGTACCTAATTGTTGCTATTCTTTGTCAGTGAAATATAACAGGTAGGTTTATTTGTGTACTTGTAAAATTACTCAGACAATTATAATTCTTTGAAACTAGAAATGAGAAAGATCAAGAAATATTGTTGGTTTCTTCATTGCCATTTGTTGAAATTCATTCCTTCTAATTAAAAAGAATGAAGAACTCAAATGAATGCATAAAGTGAGTTAGTGAACTGTGGGATTTTTACCCAGTGTGTTTTCTGTAGTTTATTGTTGCTTATTGCATCTACTCCTCCCTACCTATTGAGATGAAGGCCCAATCAAGAGCCCTCTGCAGGAGCTAGCTTAGATGCCGCCTGATCGGATGGCTTTTAAGCTAGTTATTAATATTTTATTTTGAGGTTTGAAAGTCTAGTCAGAAAAACGGCAGTTTAATATGTACCATTATTTACAGTCAAACTTGTATCTTTAGCTTTGTTGTTATTATCAAAGTTTCAGCCATTTTGACCCCCTGGCCTTCTTCAGGTGTCTGTCAGTTCAGGTATATGCTCCATATATATTCGTAAATAACTTGCATTTTTTTTTTAATTATTTTATTTTATTTTTTTTTGTAAGATGAACAAACCTGCATGTAACTTATCTACTGAACCCTGCTCTAAAATGGTGTGTAGATATTGTTTAGACACATGGTGTGTAGACATGACAACACACTCCTTATTTATTTTGCTCATATCTGTCTAAACTTCTCACTTGTGTATATACACAGATTTGTTGGTGGAAGTGTTAAAAATATTCATTCTATTTGTAATAGAAAAAGAGGTGACAAAAGAAAAAGAAACAGTCTGGCAGTTGATCTCTCCTCTGACCGAGCTCAATGGGGGGGGGGGGTCAGGTCATTTTTTAAATTTTTTTTATTTTTCTAATGTTCACCCAATACAAGGCTCAAGAGCCAGGGTAGAGCATAGAAAATAACTAATCACCAACAAGGATGTGTAAATGCTTTTGAACTTTAACAAGACTGATGAGTGAGGATTATGCAGCTCCATCCCAGATATGTCAACAGTACTCCATTTTTGGTCTGGTCTGGCTCTTGTAAAGTACTCTATGCAGGAGTCTGGTACTTACTGGACTGGTACAGGGAACAAACTATTTTTCCAGTATCTTTACCTGTGGATTGTATATATGAATTCCACTTGAGATCTGAGGTGAGCTTTAACTCCAATAAGCATTCAAGGCAAGGAACTCCTGTGAGAACAACTGTTCATCATGGTAGTTGAAAATTTATCATGATGACAGAAAGTTACTAGTTTGGATTTTGAGGTACTGAATGTTACAAGCCAGATCCCTTTCCCCACAGACAAATTGTTGCAAGCCTCTCACTACTCTATTGTTATTTCTATGCAAAATGTTCTGGTGAGTTTAATTTCTTAGTTCCATCAGTTCTGACCTTCACAGCTAAGACCCACCATACACTAGAATGAATCGTCTTCATTCTCTTTGTATTCCATTAGTAAGAAGGAAGTTCCATTTGGATAGCTTCTTTCCAAGAGCCACTACTTTGTAGAACACTCCTGAGGATGTTTTCTCAATCATTACTATTTAACCATTTAAGTCTAGGGTTAACGATATCTTTATTACATATCTTCATAAACTGCACTTCTTACCTCCTCCACTTATGCTTGTACAACAACCTCATTCAGTAATCCTCTACCTGGACTGGTTCTTGGGCATTGTATTGGGGGGAACATTAGTAAAAAAAAAACCCCAAAAAAACCACTAAAACAAAACATGAGCATTAATGGTAAAAAGTAAAGTTATCAGGTTAGTTTTAATTTGTATGTTATCAAATTCCAGATCATGGAAATGGAATTGACGAGAGATTTTTGTGCTGAAAATTGAAGAGACAATTAATAAGAAATAAAAAGAAACTCTGAAGAAAATACACAAAACAAAATCTCCTTGCATAATAAATTGGATAGAAATTTTATCCACTTGGGCATGTGAATTATGAAAATCGACTCGTCATCCACTTGGCTATTAGAACAAAAACTACAGCTGCTATTCATGGGTACAAGTAAATACGGGGTGCGATGGGTAAATTGTCACCATTTTATATTTTTAATTTCATGCATGTGCATTGTTTTTAATTTGGGGTCAGTTGGGCACTGTCTGAGAAAAAGATCCCCATGATGCAATTCACTCTACCAGAAATTTAGAAACAGCATGTTGTACTGCTTGGCATTCATGGTGGAAGCTGTAATACAAACATTTCAGTGTTTGGGTGTCAATCTGAGAACAGTGCAGAGGATTCAGAAAGAGTTGGATGAGTCTAATGGTGATTACGAAGGTACGGCAACTCTAAAAACTCCCTCTAATCGTTTTGATAAAAGAACTCCTGAATTTGAACAAACTCAAGCATCTCCTCCAACCAAACATGCTTTGGTTTTTCTCGGATGAGAAAAATTTCTGCCAGAATAAGATGGTGAACACACAGAACAAACATTGGTTTGTTGTATCCTCAAGAGATGTACTGAGAGTGATGAAAATCAAATATCCAGTCAACATCATGGTGTTTGGAGTAATCACTAGTGACGGTGATGTTATTCCTCCATTCATCTTCCCACAGGGCCTCAGACTCAACATGGAGGCTTACATCAAGTGTCTTGAGAAGGTAGTGCTGCCCTGGGTCAAGAAGGTGGCTGCTGGAAGACCCGATGTCTGGCAATCATGCCACACAAGCAGGCAAACTCAGGTATCACCCCTTACATCTGGCCACTTAACTCCCCAGACTGTGTGGGGTGAAGTTGAGTGATAGACCAACAAAACTCCTTGTAAAGCCAAAGATGAACTGAAGGTAAGGATTATGGCAGCATTCACAAATGTAAACAAGGAGACCATTCAGAAGAGTTGTAGATTTTGAAGTCGTCTGAAGGCTGTGGTTGAAGACAATGGCGATTTTAGGGTTTCAAGATATTTTGGGGTAATTGTGATAAATATATCTCTTAAAATGAGATGTTGATGTTATTTTAATTTTGGTATAACTTAGATGACAATACAGGAACTGAAATGGGCTAACATTAGGACAGCAAATTCACATGATACAAAAGTACAACAATTTTATAAATTTGTAATCACTGAACACAAATGCGAATTGTTAATAGGCACCATGGATGAAATGCTCCAATGTGTGTGTATGCGTTTTTTTTTTGTTTTTTTTTAATGCCTGGTAACAGCACTATTTGATTAAAAAATTAGATATGAAAAACATTTTATAGTATGAGTGTGTTTAGCAGATAGTACAAAACTTGAACTGATGGTTAAATTTAGAAGAAAAACAATGCTAAAGTGAAGATTTTTGAAATTGTGTACTTATTAAAATTCACTCAGAGATGAATAAATGGGCAAGATAATAACAAATGTTTAACTGGGGAAGATTTAGATGAAGTGATCTGAATCTCTTAAGCCAATGTTGTTACACAATTGAAAATCAAATATATATGCACAGTTGTTGGTTGGTAGCCCATTAATGCTACATAAATTGTCAGCCAATAACAAGTGGCAGTTTAAAAAGCACCAGATGGTCTGTTTGTTCTTGAACTTTACTATTGCCAATAATTGGGATTATTTCTGTTGAATGTATTTGTTATTTAAATATATAAACATAAAAGCTTTTAATCATGTGGAGAACTGACAGAACTGTAATAATGCCTTATTAATAATTTCTTATTTAAAAATGCCTACTGATTTGATTCTTCAATGATTTTGAACATTCATGGCTATTTTTTAGGCCATTTAAAATAGTTTGAAAGCTTCCCTGTATTAAGGTAAATAAAATTGTTAAAACGTTCATTGTAATAAAAATTACACATATCTTAAGTATCTTTGGAGAGGAAAGTGAAGGAAAGCAATTTTGATGTATATTTTAACCTTTTCCCATCAGATGAGCAATAAATTTATTTTATGCTTAACCAATTTGAGAAATGATGACCAGACAAAATAAAGATAAATGATTTTTTTTTTAAATGATTCTCAGTTAATTTCATTCCAAATGTAAATTCCTCAAAATGCAGACATGATTGAAAAAGAAAATAGCATATTTTTTGCAGCAGTCTCTCATTTGCCATCTCTTCATGCATTCCTGGAAATAATGGGGTCTTTGGTGTTATATCTTTCAGATTATATTCAATGTGAGTACTGTGAACGCCGATTCAATCCAACTGCTGCAGATCGGCACATAAAGTTTTGCAAAGAACAGCATTTGCGAATGAGTAGGAAAGTAGGAAACAAAGCTGCCAACAAACCGAAGCCAAAACCTCAAGTGAGTGTCACCCAATCTTCAAACACAAAATTGGTCAAGCAAAAAAAAAAATAATATTGGCAAGAAAATAATGTCTGACTTTTTTTTTAGAAAGAATAAATATTGTTTTAATTTAAATATTTATGATATGAATAAAGTTCATTTTAAACCTTTGAAGAATTGTCTTTTTCAGGTTGGGGTAAACAGCTATCAGCCTCTATATAATTTACTAATTGAAAGTAAATCAATTTTCCTACCAGTTTATAAAGCCTTCATTCTAGCTACCAACTCAACTGAATCTATCTTTCAAAACTCTTTCCTTGAAATCCTTTTCATCTTTCAATATTTACTTTCTCAATTCACTGCCGCAAATTATTAAGCATGCATGTATTTTGTTTTTAAATACTTAATTTCTACAATTCTCATTTCCTTTTATTCCAAATGCTCTCCAGTTTATAATTGTTGTATATTAAATTCGTAAATAACTTTTACATGCATTTATCATTCTCACTTTTCTCTCTCTCTTATATTGATCGCTTCGTGGTTGAAGTAGTTACAGATTTTCTGTTGGAGGTTAATGATTGGTGTTTAGGTAAAAGCAAGGCTGAAATTTTGTAAGAGATGTTGAAGATTGGGGCAACATGATTTTCCTACCCTCATTAGCTCTTTCCTTTGGCTCTGTACCAGAGTAAACTTGATTTAGTGAATCTCTTGTCTCATTAATAGATTATATTAATTTTAGTGATTGTACAGTTGGTGCTTAAAAGCCACCATAGATTCTGGTTGAAGGCAAAAGTGATGCAAAATGAATCTGCCCAGTCCTAGATGTTTTCTTTTTTCTTTTTTTCACTTTGTGCCAAGATATAAAAGGTAGAAGTTAACATTGGTGTCAAAAAATTGATATTAATGTTCAAATTGTTAACTGGTCTCGTATATTTGGCATTGGCAAAATCTCCCCTTATTTTAAATGTCATGTCCTTTTTAGAATGTAAGTAATCAAGGCTCTCCACACATTACTTTTCTTTATTATCTCAGAATTGCCATAATTTCTTTGGAAGAATAATGGAATGGTTTCCTATTGCTTTCTACATTTATTGTAATTTAGTGTTCTCCTTTCTTCTAGAATGTATGCTACTCAAGGCTAAAAATCCCAGTATACTCAGCTATTTAATCCATAACTAGGGATGAAGAAATGGATTCATGTCTTTCCCAAGTAACTTGAAAATACTGGGTTAGAAGAAAAAACAAACTTTTCACTCTTCCAACATTATCTTATTTTGCAACCAGATTGTTTTCTTGATTTTAGTTCTTTACTTTTTAACCTTGCTTAGACCCAGGATATTTTGACTTTCTCTCTCTGTGTAACTCTGAAAGTTAATTCAAGAACAACTAAACTGCTTTGCCTGTACTGATGAGGAGAATCTAGATTCTTTTTTTGTCTCCTCCAGTATGAGCCACCCAAGCCAAGAGTTAAAACAGAATCTTCTTCAGCTCCTCCTCGACCAACCCATAATTTAAATGCAGCTGCTGCTGCTGCTCCTTCTCGGTCTGGTAACCTTCAAGGTAGGCTTTGTTCATTTTAATGCTTGTTTTATTAAATTTTGTTCAACTCTATTTCTTTACTTTGTTAAATAAAACAAAACTGAGCTCTGTATTGTTCTTTGTGATGTCAATGAATTTTGGTTTTCATGAAATAACAACTGGGCTATTATTGTAATAGTTGCAATGCGAAGTTGTAAATTTGTTGTGGAAGTAGCAGCAGTCTGTAGTAAAATGAGCCAAGGGGGGAAAAATGTCTTATACTCTCACCCTTCTCTCTGGGGGAAGTGCAGCAACTTGACATGGATTTGATTCCACAAATGGTTGGAAAACTGCTGGAAAGATATTGAGCCACCATTTCTTGAGAGTGCTCATTGCATTGCAGTGTGTTTGTCTATACTGAAAATGAATGTTGTTTGTGTATTAAATGTTTAAATGAAAAAATCTCTTTTGAATTTACAAGTAAATACAGAAAGAAACTTATGAATTAGAAAGATGAAACAACAACATTTGACATTTTAGAAATGTCTTTTAATAAATTCATTTTTTTCTTTTTCTTTTCAGAACGTTCAGGATTACGTCGTCCAGGGTTCACATCTCGTCTACCCTCTGCCCCAAGTAACAATTCTGCTCATTTAACCCGCAAACTTGGTAAAGATACACAAAAACAGGTATTTGTTGGTTTTCACTTGTTTGATCTGAACTCCTGGTGTTGCTTGAAATTGAAGAATTTCTTTATTTTTCATGTTTCTGTATCTTGTGTGTAAAACCAAGAAATCAAACTGGTAATAAACTGTTTCCATTTGTGGAACTTTTCACTTATTTCTTTGCTATTTACAAATTAGATATGTATTAAAAATCAAAATTGAACTTGAGCAAATATAGCTGATGTTTCAGATTCAATTGGATTGTATGTAATATTTTAGCAACATCAATGCATGTGATTTTGAAACTTGAAAAGGTTTATTGAAGCCATTATAAATTTTTTTGTTCATTGTCAAGTCTGACCAACTTTATTTCTATAAAGCATAAATCAGGATTTGAAGCAGTTTTACATCATGTGTGCAATGCTTGAAATTGAAAAAAACATGAATTACTATTTTTAAAGGTTATAGAAAATTAATATTAATGAAAGATTAATAATGAATTTCTAAAAAAAAACTTGTGGTTGGTTGTTTGGCTTGAAAAATTATAAATTTAATATTCTTGCTTGAAACAAACCCGAGGAAATGTAATTTTTCTTGTGTATTGAGATTTTTTTTTTATGCTTTTAATTTTATGGTTATTGACCTACTAAGTGAAGACATTGTTAGAAATAAGCAAGTATTTTTGTTTGTTTTATTCTTATTTTATTTCTTTCCAATCTTTGTATCTTTGCGTATTTCAACTTTGATGTAATCATTGAACTGCAACAATAAAAGATGAAGTTATTGTCAAATCAAACTCTTAAGATAATAAGATAATAATAACTCTGATCAGTAAAACGAGTTTTGTTTGTATGTTACTTACATCTTTTATTTTGGATAAAAGCTGGTAGGGCATTCATTACATTCTTTTTTTTTTCTTCTTCACCCACCAAGGTTCTGATGATAATGTGGAAGGAAAAGGAACATTTTTTGTTTAGTTTTAATTTGGTAATATCCAAACCAGATTTGATATTACCCCAAACCAAATTTAATAACAAAGATCTGACTCTTAGGTATCCCAACACTCAGCTTACATAATGCATACCAAATAAAAGCTTATTTCATGAACTTTGTTTCTATCTTGTTTATTTTTATATGTACTACAGTGTGCGAGGAACGTTACAATTTGAAAATAGACATTTTTGGTGATTTCGCAAAATTTTGGCCATTTTTTTCACTGACGGCAGTTTAAACTTCAAATTTTGTAACATGCACAATCCGCAGGGTTTATATTACAATTTTGGTAATGTTAGTTTGAAAGTTAACATTCTAAGCTTCATTTTCATATTTATATTTTTTAATTTTAATAAGTTTGTAAACAATTCAAATGAAAAGTTTGAGCGTAAAATTCAAATGCTTCTTGTAAAAGTAAAAACACAGAAAATATATCAATAAAACGCTCATTTAATAATCTATGAAACTATAGCTCCATTTTGCGCCTGTGCGATTATGTGTAACCATGTACGACTCGCTTGGCCATCATTTCAACTCCACGCGAGACTCAATACACAGCATCAACACAGACACAAAAGAATCGACCAGAGATGTTTTCTATGGACGAAATTTTCAAGGAAATTGATAAGAATTTGTTTTAAATATTAATTTTCTATATGTAAAATGTAAATGGGATTTAAAAACCGTTTTCGTCATAAAAAAAATGATACAAAAATCGATTTGTTTACTTACGCTCAGATTCAAATCACGAAAAAAAATAAATAGGACTTATTGATCGAAAAATATTCATATTCAAAGAATGAGATAAAAAAACATTCTACAAAAAAAATTATAGAATGTCTTTTATGTTTTTGCAGTTTTCTCACAATAATTATCAGCATTTCAGTTACCAAGTAACATTTTGTTTTGTTTAAACTTTACTAAAGTTATCCCTTCAAACAATTTTCTTACTTTTTAAATTATCTAATGAATGGATTTTTTTAGTTACGATTTATTGCTATCTAGATACAAATTTATGATTTAATATTCATTTTCCTAATTTATTATTTCTTAGTAATATTTATTTCATACGGATTATGATTGTTTATTTTATTCTAAAATATTTTAATGTGTCAGTTTTAAGGACCACTGTGGAAATAGGTTTGTTGAGAAAATATTTTAGTGCTTCCTTATTTGTTACTCAGGTGTATGGATGACTCTAAATTTATATTTATTCCTGATTGTAAAGTATTTTGCAATTTTTTATGAACTGCAAATAAACACAAATTCAGTAAGAAAACATAGACAATAATTTGTAGATGACTACGAAGTGTTAAGCTTCTCTCTCTACAGTCCAGAAATTGTACATGTTGAGTCAGGACTGTACTTGTTCAGCATCTGCTCCATATACATTCTAATCTGTTGATTTTAGGTCATTTTAACCATGATAAATGGAAAGAGCACCCCCAGAAATGGCTAGATATGAAATTTGGTGTTTCTAGTGCAAGAAGTATTCATTTTATGACACAATTCACGCAAGCCTAAAATCGGCCTTTCAAATACCTTGTGGCAAAAGGTTAAAAAAGAAATTTTTTTTTTAATTTTGAAGTGGAATAATCCAGAATATATCCATTCTATCACTCCCCCAAAAATTAGGCATGTTACTGGTATAATCATAATGTGATATTTGAAATTTGGGATGAATGTGGATCTTATTTACAGCTTTATAAAATGTCAAACCTCAGGTTATGAGTTTGCACGTCATTGCAGAAGTTTTGATTTATAAAATTTGCATATTCAGACTGAATTTATTTAAGAAATATGCAGTGATACTATCTGTAATTTTATTATTAATTTCTTTGTTATGTACCTAACAAGCTAGTATAATTTTAACTGTTGTTCTTAATTGCTTTTTAAAATATAGGAATCCAAGTATGGTATTTTGTCCTAATTCATAATAGACAAAAAAAATGTGTAAAAATAAAATTGCCAAAATTAAACGGTTTGAGATATTTTGATGAAATAAAAACTGCTAAGTTTCTTTAATCATGTAGATTAAGAAGATGCAATCAGATAACACCTAGTACCTTTTTGAAATTTTCATCTGTGATACCTACTTTTATCTTAGTTCAATATTGATCCATTGCCAACTGAATATATGCATTTTTAATTTAGTAAGATTACATCTCTGTTTTGATATCGTAATGTTTATATATAGGAAAATATGGAAGTTTTATTATTTTTGCTTTTGCTTTCAACTTTTTAAAAATTAGTTGACCACCATTTCTCCATTCAGGGTTCTAAAACATTAATTTCCAATTTACTTGTTTGACAATTGAGCTTTCTCTGTAATTTTTCTTTCTCTTAATTTTCAAATTTATTTTATTTAGGGTTATGATGAACAGGACACAAATGTCAGCAATGGAGTAAATTACACAGGGACAGGACCAGCTCTTCGTACCGGCCGTGGAGGTAAATCATATCCTGATGTCAAATCAGTAAACAGTCAAAACAGAATTGTGGGTGGCCTGTCAATGGGACGAGGGACTGGAGGCCATATTAATAAGACGGTCCCCAATTCTTTAAGCAAGTAAATATCTTTTTCTCATTTGTTTTGTTTTTTATTTAATTTTTATACTATTTGACCTAAAGTTTTACTTGGTATGTTAATGGGGCTGTATAGATGTCGCTGTAATAATAATTACATAATAAACCAATAAATATTCATACTAGCTGAGATTGCATGTTTTTCTTACATGCAACAAATAAAAAAAAAATTATTGTATGAATAGAAAATAGTTGATTGGAGAAACTGTTTGGTAGATTTCTTTGGGCCTTTTTCTAAAAATATTTTTGGGTTAACAAAAAGTTAATGAGTCTTGTCTGGATGCAAAGTTTCAGAGGTCACTTCAGAAGTCATTCTGTTTTTTTTTTTTCTGTTATAGTATTAGCTTGATGTAAAAGTTTCCAGCATCATCTTTTGAACAATGTTAGAAGTGATTTTTTTTTTTTTTTTTTTTTTTTCAAATTTACTCAGCTCTTTTGTACTGGTGCATATCTATTCTTTAAGAATATTTTATGGAAAAGTGGTCATTTTACTTTATTTTGGTGAAATAAAATATGCACATTCAAATGAAGTGGAAGCTAGGCAGTAGATAATTGAAGCTGCTGGTGATGATGATGCAAGTATGTTTTGGGTTTAGGTGGCAAAATTTTAAAAAGAAGACTTTCAGCTCAAGGACCTACTGGAGAAACTGAGAACTTGAAAATTGTGTTGGAAGTTTTGTAGTTCAGATTAGAGGTGAATCAGTATGTTGTTTACAAGTCTTAGGAAAATGGATTCCACATGAACTGAGGAATCAGTTAGCATTTCCACATTTGCCTGTCTTTTCTGGCTCAACACAAAAAGGTGTCATTTGAGTTGGGTTTTCAACTGAGAATGAAATATATTACATTAAAATCAATTTTGCAACACTCAAAACTGAATTCTTTATTATGAATTACTGGAATCTAGTAATCTTGTAATACTAGAGTAAGCAATTTGCTGGTTTGGAGAACTAGAAGTCCTATCAAGATTTATTATTGCCAGCAATTAACATCTTAACAAGATATGCAGATGACACAATGTTGACGGTAGACACAGAAAGAAAGAAAGAAAACTGTTGGAGCTCCTAGCTAAAATAGCAAAACAAAGTAGGAAGAAATGACAAATTATCAATTATAAAACATGATGCATGGTCATTAGCAAGAAGAATAACCGAAGATTTCGAGCTATGTATTGGAGATGTCAGGATTAAGTAAGTGCAGAATTTAACTATGTGGGAAATGTTTTATCAGACCACAGGAAATGTGACCAAAATCCAAAGGTGCATTGGAATAATGAAAGATGCCTTTCAAAAACTAAAAAAAGTATTAAGAAACGGGAAATTCTTTTAGAAACAAAGAAAAGAATGCTGAACTGCTATGTAATATCAATCCTCCTATATGGCAGTGAATTTTGGACAATTTCCTCACAAATGTAGAGGAAACTTTAAACAACAGTTGGTTCTACAGAAGGATGCTGAGAATACCATGAACAGAGCTTGTGAGCAATGAGGAAGTTTTAAGGAAAATGGAAACAAAAAGGCCACTGACACTTAGTGTCAGAAAGAAACAGTTGAAATTTCTAGGCACATAATGAGGAAAGAGGGTTTGAAGAATTTAATGCTCACACGTTATATTGAAGACAAGAGAGGCAGAGAGAAATCTACCTAAAGAGCTTGTATAAATGGATGTCAGAACAGTGAGTGAGGAAGGTATAGTAAGAAGGCAAACATAAGAATATGAAGTTGTGGAGAGTCCTGATTATCCACATCATAAAAAAAGATATATTGAAATACGAAAGAGCCTTTGTTTAGGGCAAAGAAGTTAATTGCCGATTGTGATTATGTTGCAAATGTACCACAGCAATCATAGAGTTGGGATGAGAAGTTCTGCATTGTTGCCATCACACTATTCCTTGTTCTGCCTCATGAAAATCTTTTTGTTTCGATAATGTTTTCAATATATTCAAGAAAAAATCCTTAACTCTTTTTTGCAATGGAATACACAGTTTAGCTGAAGAGTAACCTAAGATGATAGAAAGCTAGGCAGAATAATTTGATGTCTGAACAATGATGCTATGAATTTATGTGAAAAAAATAATTTTATCAAAAAATTGCTGGGAACCTTTGCATCAAAATAATATTTGAATATTATTTATAACTGCGATTAAGTGTTTTATTTAAATATTATCTACACTTTGCAACTTTATCATTTTAAAATTGAACATTTAATTTTTTTCCATAAATAGTTTTAGGGAATTAATTTCTGGTAACAACTTTTAAGACTAATTCAAATTTTAATAACTTTTTGGGGGGTCATTTAAAAAAAGTTTGGCATTTATTTCTTTTGTCTATTTATTTGTTTTTAATAGTCCTGATGATTTAGTTGAGATCAGAGAATCCTGGAAGCATGAAGTGAATCTCTAAAAACTGTAGTTTGGAAAGAAGTAAAACTAATCTATACAATAAAAATTATTTATCCACAATCCAATTTCTATCTGATAAAGATTATATATTTCGCCCAAAATGCAAGAATTACTTGATTTGAAGGAGGGTAAATTCTGAACAAAATAACATTTTCTGAGGCTGTTTTTTCTTTTTTGTTTGTGGAAAAGAGGCAAGATAAAAACAAGAAAACATTTCTAACTCTGATAATGGACCTACAGTATTTCAATATAAAATGTCTTGAATTTTTGTGTTCATTTTAGAAATGCTGCTAACCGTTATGGAACAACTCAAGAAGCAGAATCAGGCTATCACAGCGGCAGTTCAGAGATTGAATTGCGACAATTCTGCCATAGTTGCAATACCAAATACCCAGTGGTTGAGGCGAAATTCTGCTGCGAATGTGGGGTGAAACGACTCCTTGTTAGATAATGATGCTGTGTATTTCAGTTTTTAGATGTCTCTCCCATTGACAAAACTCGCCTTAACCAAGAATGGAGACCAGTAAAATTATATATATATATATATATATATATATATATATATATATATATATATTTTTTTTTTTTTTTTTTTTTTTCACTCACTATACTGTCGTTTTTGAGAGCAACCTGGGTGTTGCTGAGTGGAAGAAATGTTCTTTTTCAAATATATGACATGAGTGATTGGCTGTAATATTGAGAACAGAATGAAAGAAAATATTTGTACAAATGGAAAACAAAGACCAAATGACAAAAGAATTATTTCCACGTGATTTTTTTTTTTTGTACAAGTCAAATATTCAAATATTAAATGGACCAGATTTTTTTCTCCCTGACCATTTGCAAAAAAACTTATGTATTTACGATTTTGGGAAACATTTTTGAGATATCCTGCAGATCTTTTATTTAATTTGGTTTATACTTTGCAACATTTTTAAAAATTTTTATTGAATTTTTTTCCCTTTATATTGAAAAATAAATAATTTTTGTATTTGGGAGAAATAATTCAAAAACATTGTTTTTATTTTCAATGGTGAGGGGTAGGGTGGGGGGAGCCTTTTTGAAATAGAAATTGTTTTGTGACATTTTGATTGTTTCATTGACTGTACATGCTTATAAGTCTCTTATACACAAAATAGCCAATGTTGGATACTTTTGATCAAGATCAATCCCTCTAATCCTGCCTATTTTATAAGCACACAATGCTTCTTTTTCTCTTGGCCATACTGGTTTTAAAACTACCAAATTCTAAATATGGATAATATAAAACATTTTGATCTGTCAGAATGAAAATATATATCATTCACAGAGGCTTAAGACCAATAAATTGAATGATGAATTGAAAGGCTATATTAGTGAGTCAATGCAGAATTAAGCTGAAAATGGGTTTTTCAGTCTGCTTAAAAACTCACTGATAATCAGTTGGTCTGAGATCATAGATCTTTCATTTGTTAGAAAATTGCTCTTTTTTTAAAATCTTTATATAAAGAAGACTATTAATATTTAATAAGCTAGCAATGCTAATGGGACACTTGGTGAGGACAGAACTTAGCTCACTAGTAAATGTCTGCCAGAAGCAAACCAATGTTGTGATTTCCATTCCCTTTGAAAGATTTAAACTTTAAATAAAATTTTTAGGAGTTTTTAATCCATTTCATAGTTTATAGGAATGTTAAGTCGAGTTGACATGCTTTTAAGGCTTTGTTGAATTTTTATTGATAAGTCAACTTTTATATTTTGTATTTATTGAGAGATTGAGATCCCATTTTTCTTTGGCAGCAACTTGATGTGTCTAGCTCCATATATGGAAGGTCATTTTTTTTCTTTTGTAATCATTTTCTGATGATGTTAGAAATCATTGAAATAAAACTAACATCTTTTTTCTACTTTAACTTCACATTCCTCCTTTTATTCCAAAATGTGTAAATTATGAACTTAAAAAATGTTTAATGTTAAAGACTCCTTTCTTTTGGAATAATACCAAAGATTGTGTGTTAGATTTGAAATTTATAATAGCATTTCCATAAGCGTATTTCAAGGCAAGTGTTTAAATTTTTCATTCAAGAATTGCTTGTGAAGAAAAGATTTTTATTTTTTGTATAGTTTGCAAACAAGCAACACTTTCTAATGAAATTGATATAACTACTTAAAGGGACATTTTGGAAGGCAAACATAAGAATATGAAGTTGTGGAAAGTCCTGATCATCCACATCATAAAAAAAGATATACTATTCAGATTCATTCTAAAATTTTATCTAATTTTCTGCTAGATTGGTAATCCACCTCCATACTTTAAAATACAACAAATCTTCTGTCTTTTGATAGAATGTAGCAGTTGTATGGTTTCATTTTTTATTGGAAATATTTTTCCTGTGATTTTATTCAACATAAGACCTTTAAAACTATTTTTGAAATCATGCCAGTATTTACTAAGCATAACCTGTGTTTATGGAGACTAACAATAACAGAGTAACCAGGTAAGTTTTGAACCCATGATCAACAACTTCTAAGACTTGCTTGCTTACCATTGCTAGGCAGTGGAAAACTTAAAATAATTAGATTTAAAAAAATAAAATAAAAAAAGGGCTTCTTTTTATTCTTTGATTTTATTAATAAGAAATATTGAAATTATTTAATATTTATATATACTTGAGAAAGCTCAAACTTTTTGTCTGAAATGTATTCCTTCCTTTCATACACTAAAAAAAAAAAAAAAAATTGTGTGTATATAATTGTTTTCACTATCATGATATATGTATTTGGGAACTAGGCTTTATTGATTAGGAATTCAGATGAAAAAGTCTTCTTGGCTATGATTGTTGGTTTTATTAATTAGTAAAATTATTTTACATAGTCAATATTCCTTTAAAGATTTTTTTTAAAGGACAACTCAACACAATTTGGAATTTTTACCTTGTGGAAAATGAAGATTTTTAGATATCGAATGAAGGTCATGTGACCAGTATTTTTCTTCATTGCATGCAGATATTTTTTTAAAAATAATTTTTTTTTTTTTTCAACTCTCAGTCTAACAGTATAACTTGTGTTGAAAAGTGTTCACATGCCAGATTTAAGCTGTTTATACAAATTTTATATATATATATATATATATATATATGCATACACTGTTTCTTTACTTTTCCAAATAATCTCTGAAGTGTCAAGATGACATGGCGTAGTAAGATTTAAACTACACTTTTGACAATATGGGAAGCCAATATAGTCACTTTAATTTTGTCTTTCATGCATTTTAGTTATAAAAAAAAAAAAAGATGTATTGCAATTTTAATGCTGAGAATATAAAATATTTGCATGTAACTTTCTTGTTTAAATACTGATTACTACTTATAAAGTTTCTTGGAAGAAAAAAACCCTTTTCATGAAAGTTTAGATGATTTGGTAAATACCAGATGTTTGACTTTCTATAATGAATTTTGCTTTGGGTTAAATGTAGCAGTTGCCTGAAATTCCCAGCCTCTGGCTTATGACGATCTCCCTCTCAACAATAAATGAATTTTGTGGAAATTCTGAGATTTATTTCCATTGAAATGAAAGTGATCATCCGTATAGAATGTCTTGGGTTATCTGAAAGCTTTTGTTAGTCACAGTAAGATGGGCACCCAAGGATAAGTGATGCAATTTATCTTTCTGAAAGTTTTGTTCTTTAATCCATGCTGCCTTAACAGTTGTAAAACAAATATAAAAAAACAACTGAGAGATGAAATAAAAGTCCGTAGTAAAAGGTGAAAGAAAATGCATTTAATAAAAAAGCATTAAATTATTGCTCTCTTTGTTTTAGTTTTTTCTTTAACTTTAAGGTTTTTCTTGATATTAACTAAGGTACAACACAAAACCAAATGTGCCAACCGTCCAAGAGAGGAGAACCTGCCATAGGGCAGGCTTTTTTTTCTCTTAGACAGAAATGATAGACTCCATTAATGAATAGGCAAAACCATCTGGAACACTTTTGGACATTTATTAAAATATGTAGAAGTGTCGAGTAGCTGCTATATGGCAAGGGAAACAATTCAGATCCATTAGTAGTTGCTTCCCTTCTATTTATTTTTTTTTTTTTTTTTAACACAAATGGAGAAAAGTTACAAATAATGATAAAAATAAAAGCCGAGAAAGTTTGTTACGAAAGAATGATCACTGTGATAATGTAACAATTTTAACTGTGTGCCTGTGTTTTTAAGTTTGTTTCTGTCAAGGAATTAAAAATTTATGTAATTCATTTATATTTTTTGTAACTTTGTGTAATTATGTCACTCATATCACTTGAATATTAAGATTTTATCCTTTTTGCTTAATGACTGGAATTATCTGGAAAAATTCTTTTGGAAACAAATCTGTTCACATTGAGTTCATCAGACTTAACTGCACCAGAATTTATACTTATAAAAGTGCATAGTTGATAAAGTTTCTGAAAATAATCTGCATCAAAAGTTCAAATTTGAGATGCATTGCTGATTTGATTTGGAAAAGGTGAGACCCATCTTTCCATTGCTAGTCATCTAAATGCAGACTTTATATATAATGAAATTTAGACAAGACAAAGACAAAGATACAGTCAGTTAGATCATTTGCTCAAACAAGAGTAGAAAGTGGCTGCTATCACCCTTATCAGCAATGACTAATGCATCTTTCTCCACAGAACCCCCTGAGTACCTGGTTTTAAATAGGTGAAAGGAAAATTTGCAATTTGTCAAAATTTAAGCAGATTTTTTTTTCTTTTCCAAACTAAATCTCTGCATTTATTTGGTATGCATTGATAATTTTTTTTTGGTAAGTTATTGAATTAAATGAAAGGCAGTGAACAGAATTGATGCATCTGACAAAACTGAGCTGGGATTTGAAGCCATCACCATACTTCCACTGACTTGTTGAAAGTGCATGGGATATGTACATATTAACCATTGCATTCTTGTTTTTTAGAGATTTATTTTATTTTTTTTTTTTGACAGTAAGTTTCTATTGAATTTCAAGTGCTTTAAATACTATCATTAATTTTTAGCAGACATTGTGTTTTGGGTTTAAATGAAACTAAATGTATTAATCATTTATTAAATGTCCATTAACATTTAACTTGAACACTTGGAAACAGAACCTTACCCCCACCCCCCATATCATTTGCTTTGTACAATCATTTATTTATCCTCACAGCTTTTCTTATTTAAAAAATGGCTGTTTGGTTTTAGAAAGATTTAAAACCATTTTCTGTATAAACATTATTATTAATAAAACTTTGTTAAAAAAAAGGTTTTTCTAAACTTTATTTTACATGAAATTTACTGTGTATATGAAATTAAATATCCACAATAAATTTGGAATTTAAACCTTTTAATTACGATGAAATACCTTCTAATCACACCTCACCAGCTATTTTTGTAAATATTGGAGTTCCTAAGAGTATAACAAGTCATCCCTTATTTTGGCTTGGTTTTTCTCTCT